ATACTTTAACACTTGTATAATGTTTGCCGAGCTACGTTCTGGAACGGAATTAAAGTATCTTTCCATGCGTGGAAAGACATGCAAATTACAAAGCATCACATACTAAAAGAAAGCTTATTACTTGGGCTTTCATATCCTAGATTTTGAAAGAGCTACATGCACAATTATATTACGAAAATGGTCCTGACATTTGGGAGTCTTTTTTTTTTTTACTCTCCCTGTAGTCAGACGATACATGTATAATACCGTTCACATCCCGCCCTTCGTCTTGACGAATGTTGACACGAACAAAATCGCGACAATATAACATACAGGTGGACTTTCACTAACTAAAACAATCAAATGCAGCTTTATAGTAGGCGGATGCTTCCTCTTGGTTTTTTATTAGCTGTTGACGTTCACCGTAGACGGGCAGACCTCTTATTACACTTCCCTCTGGCTCCGACTCCTAAGACACTAACTTAATCGTCTATCTTTTCGCGCACCAAATGAACAGACATCTCAGCACGAGCGCTTCAACTCATTTGCTGACTGTGGTCTGTTGATGTATGGGTTTTGTGACCAAAGTGCCGACAGTTAGGCTACACAATATCCGAATGCTAGAGCGTCTTTACTGCTTAAACAACCGTTTTCGCTATGTGATCTGAAAGATCACCATGATCTTACCTATCCCTGGCTCGGTTTGTGATCTAATTCTATAAATCCGTAATGACAAATGGCTGCGTACCCTTCTAACGGCACAAGCACAAACGACCCAGGCTGGAGCAATTAAGAGCACGGCAGAGATAAGTGCTGTTGATAAATTGTATTTATGCAGGAAGCGTAATCAAGTTACACCTTTAATTGAAAGCTTGGCTGTTAAAGGTCAAGCGATATAGGCGGCCGCCTTTATGTTTGTGCTTATGCGCACGTGATCCCAGTCGTAAGATACTTACATCCAATGAGCGTTTGAAAGAAACTCATGCAAATATCCACATCAAACTCTCAACCAATCAGGTCTACGGAATTGTTTGTGGAGACTCAAAAACAAAGAGATTGGGACGAATTTTGTTGCATAATACATTTACTTGCTAACCTATAAAAAAATAATTTACTTTTTTCAACCAATCATGAGTCCGCATATAGAAACACTCGTTGTGTGTTTGCGTCATCAGCGCAGGGCGAGTTGTATTGCCGGAAACGCAGCGGATAATTGAGATCATAATACCTGGCTGTTTTGCAATAAACTGCGGCTCTATATGACTATAATAGGCCCCTTCGCGATTATTTGTATGAAAATATCGTCATTAATAAGGCCCAGAGGGAAAAGAGTATGGGGAAATACCATCCCTTATGCAACCCAAATTAGTCATGTTCCGTTTAATATCGTGTAATTCATGCTAGATATATTTTGAACGATAAAAGATGTGCGCATAGCTGGTATACACGAGAATTGAAAAAAAACGCTCATCATTTTCCTGATTTTCTGGCGCGATTTTAAAAAAAACTTAGATAAAAAGTCTTCATCTAGGGTTCGGCTAATGTTATCTTGCTGAAGTAGTTTTGCTGGATTTATGTAAGCGGTTTATTAACAAGACAAATTTCTACGATAATACATTCTGCAGCAAGACAAGCACGGATCACATTAATTTGAACTACGTTTTATCATTCAAGCAATATCACAGACGTTTCAAAGCTGCTTAGTAACTTGCATTATATTTCTGTTAGGCTACATCTATCATGAATTATCTAAGATACTATGCAGAGCACTATGTGATTACTTTGTACCATGACATATATCAAATATTCACGTCAATTTTGAATAGTTGAATATGGCCATGATTCTACATCATCAACACAGACAGTCGATGCTTCAACATGTATCCACGTTAGGCAATGACTAAGAGTGGACGGTGGACAATGATGTATGGGGCTAACAAGCCGTGTCCACTTGTACGCATCATTGCAAAACACAAACACCAAATGAATTTATCATGTACGCTTTTTGGGGCAATGTAAAGAAACCACCAATATTTCGAAGTTTTCAAAATGTATAAAAGATATTATGCATGTGTCCTTGTGTAATTCAGACGAAGGGGAATGGAACTAGCTATAGCTGGCGTTCAGTAAGGAGATTTTAAAGTAAGTAATGACGTAATTGCAGGGCACCCTAATCCTGTTTTAATGCCCATGCAGGATTACACCCACGACAAAGTTAGATTTTGCATTTAGATGTTTAGCTTTAGCATTTCAACGACTTAAGAATAACTTTTGCCCTGTTTTTAATGCCAAGGATTACCGAGCTTAATTACACTGTAAAAATGGAGAAAACATATATCTCTACTAAGCACATATCTTGTACCCACTTTTTCACATGTTTAGCCCACGCTATGTTAAGATTTTGCATTTAGATGTTTAGCTTTAAATGCTTTAACATTTAAACGACTTTAGAAATATGTTTATTGTTCGTTACAGGTTTCCAGATACTAACTGCATATTTACAGAATCAGTTACAGAGAACCAGACTTTAGTGGGATTTAACTTATTTCACATTATTATTCAGTAGAATGTTCAAATGCTACGATAGGCCTAACCTATACTTACACTACATACTATAACTTGTCGTGGTTAAGCTTTATATTCAGCTTTTCCCGTCGTGATGAAGTCACGGTTTTACCATGAATAATTTTGAATCATTTCAGTACGAAAAGAGATTTTATGCGATTTTCACTTCTGTTTGCAAAAGAAAATGCAATTTCATCATGGATTCGTTTGAATAACACATTGCGGTCACGAAAGTGCGTTTTTGGACAAAACGCCACAATCTAACGTGACTTTTGTGTACACAAATTTCGTGTGTTCTGATTGGTCAGTTGCCGCGTAATGAGATTCTCTGCAAATAAACATGTCTCCTAAACTAAACATGTTTAGCTTTGTGGCGTTTACAAACGCTTCCCTAAACGCGTTCAATGCAATTATGTAAACATTCTGTTGAAAACTAAGCACGTGAAGTTTCGTTAACGTGACGTTAAAAAGGATTAGCGTTTAACATTTACACACATTCATAAAAGTATTTGACCGTAAACACGTTTTTTTACGTGTTTTAAACCCAAGCATCGTTTTTACAGTGTACTGAACCCCGAACTCACGTAATCGTGTCTGTGCAAAAAAGAACATCTTCAAAACAGATTAAATTGTGTCTTCTCTTTTTTAAGAGGATATTCAGAATGTGGAAAGGATTGAGTACGATGCCTCATTTGCCGGAATGACTTGTGGTCAATTGGCATTTATTGATTGATAAGTCGATTACAAAAGACCACTTTATTAATGTCAAAGAGTCCCGTTGGGTCAATTCATCGAGCAAAAGTCAAATGGAGTCATGAAACTCTGAGGGCAACACAAATTAATTCTTATTCTATTTAGGGAACTGAACCGGAACGGCATATAGGCCTAAGTGAGATTACAACTAGACTTTTCTCCTCATACGTACTATGTACACCCATTTCTATGCAAATCTACGGGTGGATCGACTCGTAAAACTTGAAATTACGACTGGGTTTGTTGAAAGATATACGTCCATTCGGCTCCAGGTTTACGATTGTCTGATTTTGTTTAATAGTCTAATGACTCTATTAGGAGTCGTAGGAAGAAGATGTAATTCGCGTTTCATGGAGATTTATCTCTGGTTACAGTCAGAGCTACAGTTGCTGCATCACATGCATCAATCCAAACTTCAAAAACACGCAGAGCATTAGGCCTCAAGTTTCTGCAATTTCTCGAAGAAAATCAGGAATGCGGTCCAGATTTTTTATACGATTTTGCAGCTAACTAATTTGAAGGTTTATTGAAACCAAATCAACCAATTTATTCATTCGTAATCGCTTTCAGTCCGTTATGATGATGCATGTTTTTGCTTGTTTGCAGCATTTAAGGCCATGCTGCATTGCCTTAGGCTTTATCCCCTTAATGACTGATCGTTCCGGAACGCAAGTATCCCGTAGAATCCCGCCGAGAACGTTAATCCGTGCCAAACAAAAGATCACTTGACAACCCAGACACGCAGGAGAACGCAATATGCAAGGATGATGCAAACTGCCAACCTCATTAAAAAAATGTGATGTATTATTTGAAACCGTACCTGTGTAACGACAAAATGTCAGCATTCTCAAGAGGCAAAACAATCGAACATTCGCAGCGTTCACCCGCGGAGGAAAAATGGTTTCTCCTTTTACCCTTTTTGTGTTTAACAAATTTCAGTTGATTGATCATATTTCAAAAACTAAAAAGAATGCGTCGCACACGGAAGGTATCCATACACATCATGAGTTACATGATAGGCATGTTTCAAAATGTCGGCTAAATATTCATTTTCAGTCCATTGATCCAATATTTACAATTATCTGTCTGAGCAAAAAGGTATACCTAGCCTTGCATTTCAACGTGTTTTCATAATTCTTCAAATTACAAATGTTTTACAAGTTTCAATCATGCATCCAAACCCTGCCCTCTTTCCACACAATTAATCTAGTTGTTATTCAACTTAGTACCTCAGCGAACTACATGATTCCAAGGAAAGAATGTTGCAACCTGACGCCACTTCAGCGGTTGAGTACAAAGTCTATGGAGAGTCAAGAACATATTTCCTTACAAAATTGGAAATGTTTCTCAATCCCAGATTCATGTCTTATCATCGTTTTTGCAATGACTGACCTTCATTGAGATGATATGTGAAAGAAAAAGTGGTGTCAGGTTACAACATTCTTTCCAATTCCAAACACATAAACTGACGTTTCCTGCTTGTATCATAGCCTAATGTTTAGGCATTAAGTCCTGAAAACGTAAATTGTATTTTCGTTCTGATAATCGGAACGGGGTCCTAAAGTACAACAGGATTGCCATGTTTTGTTCTGTTGGAAAATGTGTGTCACTTAATAAAGACGCTGATGGGTGGCGTTATCTTTTCAGTCGAAAGATATTGCATATAGGCCTATTGGTCAAAGTAAGTATGGTGGTTGGCTTACCTCAGAGTCAGCATAGACCCGATCAACAGTTGAAGGGAAATCCGTTGATGGAGATACTGTAGAACGTCACCGCGTTGGCCGTATCACGCCTTCACTGCATCCAGCATCCAACACCAAACTTCGCAGTTGACTCTAGCATTTCCACAGCCTTAGTGAATCTGATGTCTGCGCCACGCGGTGCGTGCGACTCCACAAATCGCGCTCACTGCCCACACTGCCCATCGAAACGCTATCGAACCCACACAGTTTGGGCAGCGTTGCTGGCTTATACGTCAGTCAGTCGGTCAGCGTGCGATACTCCTGCGTGGTAGGAATCCTGGGCGTTCCAATTCACAGGTGTTGCGCATATATACGCCTCTAATTGTACCGGCACTAGTGTCAGTTTGGTGCGGAAACGCACCGCACAACATCTCTGCCCATTCAGGTGTGGGATATAGGCCTAGGCAGAAGATAAACGCAGGTCACTCTCAACACTACTTTGTCCGTGGAGTGGAAATTATTGTTAATGATTAAGCCTGCCTTTTCGTTCAGTTATCCGAGTCGATTAAATAAAGTGTTTTTTAAGTTAGTCTGGGTGACGGACACAAAAGAATAATTTGATGGTTTGATGCGTGTCCGTGTCGACACATAGAATGTAGGGATTTAAACTAAATGCCTTATTGTCAACGACTGCAATCCTGCTCCGCTGCCTTGGGGCACTCAGACCTATAAAGAATGTAAAGATTATGAGGAATGTACACATTTACTTTTAAATCCACTGAAACATTAACTTCAAAGTTGTTCAACATATCACATGATACCGTGATATATTATTTAATCAAGGCGTTCCAATTTCAGAAAATGAATAAACAAACGAAGAGTTTTTGTAAAGAAATCAAATTTGAAAAAGTATACCTCAAATGATTGGAGATAATGGGTACATTCTTGAAAGCGAAGCAGACTTTTTTTGTTTGTGTAAATATTTTTACTTTGGCCTTGTAAGTAGCCAAGCTGTAACTTACACTGGCGATGAAAGCCAAGATATGATCAGATATACATTTCAAATTACACAGTAAAAGATACTGTAAAAGATACTACCTGAACATTACAAATCTTTAAATAGCCTACATCATAACCTCTGAGTTTGACAGTGAACATTCTGCCATCAATATCAGGATTCAAAGGTTGTCATTCCATGGGAATTGTGGTCACAGTAATGGTTACAAAGACAAATGTCTTACGACAAGAGTGTTCACTTTTTCACCTTTTGGAAAATCATGATTGTTACCGAACGTGACTTAAAGGGTGCATGAGTCAAAAAAAGTGAAAGCTGGAAAAAATCACTCGGGTGAGACTCAAACCCAGGACCGCCTGCTTTCTAGTGCAGATGTCTTACCACTCGCCCACAAAGCTAACGGGATCGGTTGGCTGGTTCGAATCTGATGTACATAGCAGCGGGTACCGCATTAACTATTCATAAGAGATGGAATTTGGTGTCGGGGTGATGCTAATCAAATTATGTTTTGCACTTCACCGACGTATAAACACTGTATACTCAGTGTGTTACCTTTTGTTTTTTTGCTTTTAACAACTTGTCGTAGAGAGTGAAATATCAACAGCCTATGTTGGATGTATTGGTTAGCTAATTAGAATGATGAGTGAGTATACGGAGGGATTGTTGAACTGACTGTCTAACCCAGCATGTGCTGTGGAGCATCATCAAGGTGCAATTGTCTGCGGCGAAAGTCCGGCCTATGGGACTCATCCTATAACGTCTACATAGAGACGACCTCTCCCCTCGACTGCAGCTAGGATACCGGGGGGAATAACTCACACGGCCCCCGCTGGACTGTCAAACGATCCCGCCGCAGTCGGACAGCACGGAATCCGGGATTGTCCGTCGGAGGAAGAGTGCTAGCGACCTTGGAAAGCAAACATCATCATCGTTGATTTGGGAAATATTGACATGTAGCCCGTTTTTTGATTGGTTTCCTCCACATAAATACGCCCACGGGTCTACTTGTCTCTGTGGGGATATCCATCATTAAAATCCAAGCTGATATTCTTTCTAGTTGTCGCAAAATAATGAGCTTTTTATCAAAGTACACAAGTCCAACTAGGAGAACAATCTGTTTTTGCATGACATTTCGACAACGATCACACGATTATTTCTAGGAAGCATTATTTTTTTTATAAATGAAATAATCAATCACTCCGATGTCTGTATCACATTGTCCAACGTCACTCTTTTGACTTGATTTTTTTTTTATTATTTATGCGCTATAGCTACTAAGTTTATATCTTGACCATCTAAATTTGAAATGATATTGTGATTTTGTTGTTTTCTTCTATGTTTTTCCACATGTTTATGTATATAAAGTAAACAAAAATGATAATAATAATAAATCACAGAGAATATTATATTCTCGAACGGCGGAAAGTCACACTCACATTTTCGTCTGACTTAGTGACCCATGAGTCATGAAAGATGATTTTGACATTTAAAAGGTATATTCAATCGGAACAAATTCTTTTTTTGGTACAGAGGAATTGCACGGGTGCCTCTCTCACGACCTGCCAGTCTTAAGTTTCAACACGCGTGATCTTAAGGCCACAATTGCCCGTGTGGACCAATAGGTTGAGTTGTAATCTTAAGGACTACAGGTGTCTTCATCCATGGCACACGTCCAAAAAATACAATCAATCACGAAGAAGTCAAAAGGATCATAACATCAATTATTCAAGATACCAGGATATAGATCTTTTTAATATGCTTCTGATATGTACTTATCCCTCAGGTAAAAGTAACTTCGATATAAATAATAAATAGAAAGCCGACACGATCGTCCTACCATTCTTTACCTTGCGACACAAATGCCGGCGAATTTCGTTCCAAATTAAATAACAAAATTGCCAAATTGTCAAAAGGCCCATCGCAACTGTTAGCTCTGCTCTTGTGTTAGCGGACCCAATAAAATCGCCGGCAACGCGAACCGCAAATCCTGAGAGTGGAATTGCCGTCAAATAATTTGATTTATCGCCGCCCAAGAATCGGCAGTTTACACAGGGTAGAATGGAGGAGACTTTACACTCACAGCTCCAGAACCCCACAACTAACAATCCCATCTTGAAAGCAAATTGTGGATGTGTTTGCTATACGATTGGAACGGGACACGTCAATGGGCCCAGTTCTGTCTATACGTCCTCTGAAAAATTGCGGGTTGTTTTTTTACTCATCGTCAAATTTACATGGTTTCACTGACAAATTGAATCGGATATATGGATTGTGCTGAGCAAAACTGTTTCGAATCATCAAGTACAATATATTTCATGTAATCTTTCAGAACTTATAAACTAGATAGGCTGAACTAAAGGTTACGTAACACTTTATTTTGAATGAAACTACACGCACACAGACATGTTCACGTTGGTGGGCGAAATCTTTGAAAATTATGAAAATTAATTTCTCCCGTTTGGAAGACCGTATCTTCATGCAACTTTCAGGGTTTATTTCCCTAATATTGATCCCAGTATTTGCTAAAAATCGTTGTGATATGTTCATTACTTTTCAATGAAATTGGAAAAATATGCCTGGCTACTTGCATTTTTTTAAATTTGTAACACTGGCGTTTGCAATATCTGTCAATCTTTTCAAACCTCATGAAGAATATCATATCTGACCCGGCGGACTTTTTAGAGGTCGAGTGTGAGGATTATTCGGTTTACCAATTCCTATTTGGGTCATCCTCTGACTGTCTTTCATGTACAACTAAAACGATCGTTTTCATAAATGCCCTCTCTCGTACAGCTTTCTACACTAAAAGTGGTACATTGATCTCATTTATTTTCAAGGTCCAATTGTATCACAGAAAGTTACGATCATCGCAACAAATTGAAAGTTCATTATGAGAAACATAAATGAAGGAAACGTGACAGAACAATACGAACAATAACATCGTGTTGCAAAACCGGTTCTTTTCAGACCACGCATAGCCACATAAGAGATTTTGTCTACATGCTGCTACCGCAATCCTTGCATCTTTTAGACTTTCTCGGCCCTAGGGCCGCGGGTGGAATCCACCCACTCAACGATACCCTTGCCAAAAAAACAAAAAACAAAACCAAAAACCAAAAGAAAAAAAAAACATTCCCCACCCGAGCTTTCCTGACTTTTTAACCTCGAGTCTTTCCCATCTTTTGATATCAAAAACATAACATTCCGACCATGGGTTACCGCGCAGCGAAAAAGTTTCGGCGCTGCGCGCCGTGAAAACTGAATTTTCCCATGTAGTGCACATAAAGCAGAATTGGCATTGGTACATATTATGAATAATTAATTAGCCGATATAATTCCAAAACCCTTTAACCTATAGTCATGAAATTTCTTAGCTATCTACATATTAAGTTGTTCTATGCATGCACCAAGTTTCATAATTTGTTTTCACTCAATGGCCGAGATCTGGGGGGGGGGGGCGATCCGCCCCCGGCTGTGAGATGGTTTTAAAAAATCCCAGCTCCATATAGGTTTACCTAATAATTTTGGTTACAATGATCTCAAAACAGAGCCAGGAATGACCGTTATACAGGACGAGTGCCGTGAAATAGGCCGAACTCCGGCACATCTTGCCTGGTGCGTAAGCGCAAATGCATGGCCAGCGCACCCCTAGAAGAAGAAAAGAAAAAGATCAATACGTTTTGATGAGTTCGCTAAACCAGTCCGAAGATGGTATTTCTCGAGCAGCCCGCGGGCACACAAGGCAGCGCGGCTCTGAAACTTGTCCAGTCTGCATGAAGCAATAATCAGATATGACAAACTGGGAATTGAAGCCCAAGGAATCGGGAGAGAGTTGCGCCAGATGCTCACCCATTGACGACCTGAAGACGAAGCGTCGAATGTGGGCCATCTGGGATCGATATCGGGCCAATCTACCTGACGACCAAAACGAACAGTTACAATGCCTTGCTAGTGGCGCTAACAAAATTGAAATGTCTGGGGCTTGCGGGCGTTGCGCAGACTCTTAAATTGTAGCAGTTGGTACTCCGAAACTTCAGACAACAAATTGTGTGTTAAATAAAGTTGGCAGAATTTAAGGACTCGCTAACTACATAATGGTTGCTTCATACAGGGTGAGGAAAACACGCTTCTTACAGAAAAACGAAAACAATTCTCATAGGGATGCATGTGAATCGTTTTCGTTTAACTAAAAGAACGCGTACCTTTTGCGATCCGTGGACAGATCTTTAAAACGGTTTTTGTGTTCAAAATGCATTAACTTGAAAAGTACACGAGTGAATTGAATGATTGTTGCACTAAAAGAAAGCTTATTGAAGTGTGTTCACCTCCATATCTAATGTAACACCTAAATGCTCATGTGATTCGATAACGAAGAGACAATTATCGTAAAATACATGTAGTAAACGGTAATCTCACTCGCGTCAAAAACGCAATATGGGTCTGGTAAAAGTTGTCAATATTGTGTAAACAGCCTTCAACTTTCTCTCCAGAATTCAATTTAGAGTTTCAACAGCCTGCCTAAGAAGCAATATATCCTAGCGATCGCCATGGGCCATTGAGTTACGCGCAGGTACTTAGCCTCTGTAAAACCCTGCACTAAATTGATGGCTATTGATTCAGATGGATTTATACATTATAACACAACAGCCGTT